GCGAGGCGGGAAGGAGCGCGGAGGGAATCCCGCGGGAGCCGGGGCGGGCAAGGGCTGCGGTGACCCCGCTGGTTCTGTGCCGGCCTGGGGGAAGGCTGCGTGTTGCCTCCCTAGGCGCCGGAGGTGGAGGCCCTGGGAATGGACAGAAAGCGTCAGGAAGGAAGGGGTGCGAGTTGAAGTCTGCCACTGAACTGAGCCTTGATTTTCTGTGAAGATAGGGAGGTTTCCTAGGCAAGAATAAAGATGTCTAAAGCACCTGCGTTTTCTAAAGTAGTTGGGATGCTAAGTCTGATTTTATAGGGAGTGTCATGCCTGTCTTCTTCCCCTCACACCTAAAAGATACCTGCCTAGGTAAGTTACGCTCTGCTTCGGTTGCTGTCCTGAACTCTGCTGTCCCCCATGGGTCACGTACTCTGTGGGTCACGTATAAGTGTTGCCAACGTTCCAGGTTAACTGGTTTTTCTGCAGCGGTGCACTGGAGCCAGAGAAGAGTTTTCATTGGGACTGGTAACCCACCCACTCGGTGCTGAAGATGTGCAATAAGATACGTGAATGTGGGTAGGGAGATTGTGGGGAGCCAGCGAAGGACTGGCTTCTCTACTGAGACATCCTCAGCATTTTTGGTTTTGCAGACTAGAACCAATGCTTTAGTATCTTTGATTTGATTCTGCAAGGGGTAAACAGAAAAAAAAATAGAAAACCAAACTCTGAAAATTTTTCTGTGGTGACCTGATAATTTTTCTGAAGGAGATTCCATTAGCATAGAAATCTGCTAGGTTAGTGTCCTGCTACTGAGTGAATGTGGGCGATCACTATACATTAAATTAGTCATCTTCAAAACTGTGAGCTACTTAAGAAATTGCATTGTTCGTGACCGTCTTTAATCCAAACCTTGTCATCTCAGAGTGCTGCCTGATGAAATGCATTGAGAGGGAGCCAGTTTGCCTTTCTGCGGTGGCTGTGAGTGCTTGGTTAGCTTACCTTTCTTTCCTTTTCCTCTCTGGGGGAATTTCTTTGCTTGCATGCGTGTTTCTGTTTTCTCTCTTTCCGTCTTTAGTACCACACGCTATTTTGTCCACAGTCAGCCATGCAAGACGCATCCAAGAATCCCCTGTGTCCAGAAGTGCTGAATGCCTTAGACTGGGGTTCAGATAGTGGAAGCTTTATTATTTGGGGACTGGAGGGCTGATGTGGTAGGGCAAGCGCTTTAGGTCACTTACGTTGCATCCTTTTCTTTTGGACCAATGGGACACGATTTTCAACAAGCTTCATGCAGCTCTGTATGTTCAGGGACTTGCATTTCCTCTTCTGCATAGCTAGTAGTATCTGTAATTCTGAGGCTGACTTGTTGAATTTGTGTCTGCATGTAATGGAGGTAACGGGCTTAGAGAAGTGACTGTTCTGTCTTCCTCCGCCCCACCCCTTCACGAATCGAAATACTTCCTTTTTTTCTCAAGCGTTGAAATAACAAGAGAAGGGAAACTGAGCTGTGTGGCAGCTGCAGAGCTTCATGAATATTACTTGAAGAGGAAATTTATTTTACCTAACCAGAGAACTTCCTGTGTTGGTTGTCTATACTTCTAAAGATACAGAAATTACGCGTAAGGCTGTGTACATGTTGCAGCATTTCCTTGCTTGGAAAAGTTGTTCATAGAGAGATGTTTACTTCTGACTTTTGCATCTTTAGCTCAGGGGTGTTCAAATGCATTTTCTTCCCTAAAAGTCAGATTCAGCAAGTTTGCAGACATTTTAATAAGCACTTGTAGAACCTTCTGTGGTCTAGTGCTTCCAGAATCAAAACAGACTTGCTGTTTGCCCTGTAACCGTGGAGCACAGGCAAATCAAAGGTGGCTATTTGGAAAAAAAAACCCAAACAAACAAAAAAAAAAAAGGAAAACAGTTTTATGGGGATTTTAAAAATCCAGTGAAGTGACAGGGACTGGAAAGGTGCTTCTAGATAGTCTACTAAAAGCCTGATATCTTTTTCTTTCCAGCGAGGATTACTTGTATATGATGGCAGAGTGAGTTTTGAATGGGATTACAGCAATTTGGGGGGTGGTGGGGAGAAGACCTACAGAGCACTCAGACTTTACTGACAAGAAAAATTCCTTGATTGAAGTACACTTAACACAATTTGTATTTTGCTTAGTTAATACGCGAAGGATGACATCATAAGAGAATTCAGAATTACTTCATTTCAGAAACTATGTTAGAAAAATACATCAATGTACTTTTTTTTTTTTTTTTTTTTTTTCAAAGCTGACTTCACACGCAGCTTTTCACTAGCAGATGCAGATGAGGTGGTTCAGAAAAATAAAAGATGTCTGTGGCCTTTGCCTTTATCCCGAATCCTTTCCTGTTACCTGAATTTAGATCAGAGAAAGTGCAACATTGACCAGAGATGTACTTGAGCAACACTTTAATGATTTGAAAGGGACCCTAAAGAAGCTGTTGGATGAGCGACTGATGTCACTGCTGCAGGAAGTGGATGCTATAGAACAAGACAGCATCAAACCCTTGGATGAATGCCAGAAGCTAATAGAGCACGGAGTCAGTACAGCCGACGATCTGCTCCGGGAAGGTAAGGCAGGACCTGATACTAAGCCTTAGCTCTACCTTCCAGTGTGTGTGTCTTGAAGTCTGGAATGTTCCCGTTATAATCAGCATATTTGGCTCATTTTGGACTTCTCTCACACCAAATGTTAAGAAGAGGTTAAAGTTGGGTAAGATGTAGCGAAGGGCTGATCAATATTATTTCATGCAAATCCATGTTTTAATATTTCGCTCCAATCCAAGGGTGTACATATGTCAGTGTAGCCTCTCTGTAAGGGCAGGAAGTATCTACTTTGGAAGTGTCTCGCTGCAGAGATGTTCTGCACCCCTCCATGCTAGAAAGAGGATTATGTCAGGCTACTTTGAAATAAAATACACCTTGGGTACCATAATAACGAAGTGTCTCTCTTGATTGAAGAAAGTTATTTGTGTCTTAATGGAATAGCAGTTGAAGTAAACAGATCATCTTTCCTCTTAAGTGTGATTATGTTCACTGTTGATGGGGAACATGAGGAATGGAATGGCCATTGTATGGGAAAGATTTCTCCAAAAAGTCCGAGGATCAGGCAAACAGAAATAGACGTGGAATATTATTGTAAGGGCCAGTTTGTACCCTACTGATGCTAAATACCTAGCTAGAAAGGAATGTCACTCTTGACTGTTTTCCCCACACTGGAGAACCTACTGGGAGCATGTCTGAGCCATGAGTGTGTTGGCAGTTTCCTTGCATTGTTCTTGTGTCTCAACTTTAACTTTCTTTCAACATGATCTCAGTTTTGTGAACTAAAGTGCATTGAGCAGTCTCCCATGGGTAGAAAATCCACCAGCTTCCACTCAGGCATGAGCTTTGCGCTTAAAGACCATGCTGGCTTGGTAGCTCCGTGCCTCCTGTTCACAGGAGTAGTGACAATATTTAAGAATCAATTTGTTGGGTTTTTTTCGAGCACCACGACCTCTGGGACAGCTGGTAGTCCCCTTGTTTTTATTTTAAGTCTCAGGTTATTGAATCACAGGGTGGTGGCAAAGATGGCCTGTGTTTTATATAAGCTTCTATCAGATCTCATGAGAAGCTGACCAGCTGTGCGCTTCCTATCCCGTGGGTCACTATTCCCTCGGTAGCAGTAGAAGCATTGCTAAGTCATGTCGTCACAATGAGCAGACGTTGCATCTGAGTCAGAAAGGAGTTAAGCCTCCGTGGTTATTAAATCTTCTGCTGCCAATTATGACGTGTGCTTTTCTTTAGAGATTTGTAACGTTTGTAATCCTCCACTTGGGAAAGAACTGAGCTTGCTTATGTTGTAAATTACCGTAAAGTCATCAGATAGGAGAATGGAGCATATGTCTCTGTCAGCTGAAGTGTGGGATGCTACTTTATATGGAAAGCTTATGAAGATTTCTGTTTATCTTCACACTTTACTGCATGGATTATTTCATTATGCAATAGTTACCATTCAGATTGTAGCAAACAGAACAATGGTTGAAATGTTTTGCTTTTAAGCTCCTGCTTTTGATCAGTGAAGGTGCTTTGCCTTTTTCTTCCTTTAAAGCAGGTAGAGAAAGTGATTAATAGTCCCGATTTCTGGCATCTGACCCCAGTTCTGCTACTGCCTGAGACCTGAGGCAAATTATTGCATCTGCTATGGGTGTGTCTACAGGAAGCTTTGAGAGCTTCAAAAGTTGCTAGATAGGCTTTAAATTGTTAAATATAATTGTATTTTCTAGCTAAGAGTCTAGCAAAAGTGCTGAGAATGCTTCATGTTTAATTGGTTGTTCGTGTCAGAACTGGTTATTCTTTGAAGCAAAGAATGCCTTTCTTGGATGTTTTCTCATTAGGAATATTTTTACCATCTGATTCCAGGAGAGAGTGCAGTCCATGGAGATGTGGGACAACAGAATGAGAAACTGTGCAACTTTACAAAAAAAGCTTTACATATTCAGCTAGATAGGTAAGACACTGACACGCTGAGGTGATCTGAGGCAGCGGCCCATCTGCTCATCCTGTACAGGGGATCTTTTCTCCCTTGAAACAAAAGCCTTCCACTCCATTGCCTTGAAAGATTCATTTGAGGTGTTACTGTCCTGTTTGTTTCACAGACTTTCATTGGGGCTGGCAGTCACAGAATGGAGTCGTTTTCAACCTCCGTATGTTCTGTAGAAATATAGGCTGTTTATTTGTGAACGATGAAACCATTCCTTGTGGAACAGCCTGTATTTCAGAGTATTTACTGAGAAACAGACAGTCTGGTTAGGGCTGAAACTCAATGTTTTCTGAGTCTTTTAAGTTTGAAATGCACATGCCAATTTCTGCAGCTGTTCTGTCTTTGCAAATCTGCATGGATTCAAGTGTATGGACAAAACATAAATTTGTAGTAGCTGGCCCCTTTCATTACAGCAAACCTTCCTTTCTCAGCTTACCAGAAGTGCCCTCCTTGGTTGACGTGCCTTGTTTATCTGCCCAGTTGGATGACTGCCTTCTTACTATATTGAAAAATCAAATATTCAGACATGGAACTGTGGCATCTCGCCCGCCTGTACAGCTAGAGGAATTCGTTGAGAAGCCTGGAGGTATTTTAGTCCGATGGTGTAAGGTAGGTAAAACGTCCTGGGTGAAAATCATTCAGACTTCTGTTTTGTTGAAAGAAACTGAAAAAGCCACTTTCATTCTGGATTCTCTACTGCCTTCAAAAGAATAGTCCACTCCAGTGTGTAGTTAGAAACTTTAGAAGAGACTTTTATGGTAATGGCCTCATTTAAAGGCAAGGTGATGTTGTGGTTGGCACTGGCAGTTACACTGCTGTGTTAGACTCCTGCTGTTGGACTCTACCTGCTCCCATCTGCAGGTAGAAAGGTCCGACACCGTAATGCACCTCTGCCTCCCTAAAAACACTGCTACGCCTGCTTCCCATACTTAAGCAAGTGCCAGGTACTGGACAAGCAGGAAACGCCTCCTTCATATACTTTGCCCACTAAACAAACAAATAGTAGAGAGTAACTTATCTGTGATGCTGTTGTACAAACAGGAGCAAGAAATCCTGGTGTGTGCGTTTCTGAAAGGGGCGATTCACACGGAGCCATCTGTGCTGTGGAATTGAGCGGGTCATTTGTGTGGCAACAACAGCCAAAAACTCTCAGTGAGACTGAACTTCATTGCTGGGGTGATGCTTTTGTTCCCTTTGAAGATGCTTTAGCAGACCAAAGATGAGGCTGAACCTGTTCTGTTGTGCTTTTACTCCTAAGCATGTTTGTGGTTTTGGGGAGATGCGGTGCATAGAAAGACAAAATATTTTAATATTGACGTTAGCTGGTCAAGTAGCCTTTCTCTTCAATACACAGAAACTATTTTTGAGTAAATAACTGCTGTGCTCTGATGTGGTTTAGTTGTTGGACAGCTCTATGCTCCTTGGCAGCATTAAACAAACTGTTGTTCTAGCAGCAGCCAGCCGTTGGTCAGCCATCCGTACCTTGTAAAGGATGTGGACTCAGATTATAAAACCACTGGCACTGTTGTCACGTGTGATCTGGTTTTCTGTGCTATAGAGGAGTTCCCTGAATTTGGTCATGCTTGGGGGATAGTGGAGCTTTTTGTGTGGGAGTGGGTATCTATTTTGACTTAGAGATATCAAAGAATTGGAAAACATTCCCTGGAACAGTTTATGAAGGATAATAGTGAATTTCCCTTGCTGTTAAAAACTGGCACTGAATTTCTTCTGCAAATTTGTCTTCTGCTTTTGGCTGAAGGATCTTTTTATATTTCTGCTAGATTGAAGAGCCTTCTGTTAAATGTTTCTTCTCCTATAGATACTTTTAGACTGCGAACAAATAATTCCTATACTTCTTTTTGTATTAGTTGGTTCAGACACTGATTTTATTTTCTATAAGGCATGCTTTCTGCTTCTTAATACCTTTGTGACTCTGAATCACCTTTGACAGCCTGCAGTACTATCCTAATATGTGCCATTTCAGAGGCAAGAGAAAGAAAAGAGGGGGTCCTTTATTAACGTGATAAATGTTTCTCTAGGTGGATGATGACTTCATACCACAAGATTACAGACTGCAATATCGTAAGAGTACTGCCAGTCACTTTGAAGACGTGTATGTTGGCTCGGAGACAGAGTTCATAGTGCTGCACATTGATCCTAATGTTGATTACCAGTTCAGAGTCTGTGCCCGAGGAGACGGACGGCAAGAGTGGAGTCCATGGAGTGTTCCTCAGATCGGCCGTACCACGCTAGTTCCCCATGGTACTGTTTTGTTGCCATTCATCTTAAGGCCTTGTCATCAGTGCAGCACTCCTGAAGGTCTATAGCTGAATTACTTACAGAGCTGCGTTTTATATGATGATGGGGCGTCCTTAGCTGTGATGTACGTGTGTAGTGTATGATGGACTGTCCTTTCATGCTAGAATTTATTCTTTGCTTCTTAGTGAGAGTGATAGTTAGGGAGCCTTTCCAGCAGGTAGCTCACTGCTTAGCCTTGGAAAGCATTAATGAGCCAGAAATTAGGTGTTTTTTTTCCTTATCCCTCACCGCTACCTAAGCATTGTTTGATGACCTGCAATCACATAAGCTCTTATCTTGGAGAGAGGAAAACCTAAATTTTCTCTTCACTGGCAAATTTTTAAGGGCAGTGAGTCATGAAGGTTTTCCTTTGCGTACAATATGACTTTGCAGGGAGCGCAGCAAAGAGTGAAATTCTGGTGAACCCTGTGAGCTGGGAAGTATTTTTTTGTAATTGCAAATTATTTGAAAAAGAAATCTCTCCATCAGAAGAAGACAAAAACAGCCCCTGTTCTTAACATAGCTTAAGCTTCATATGAGGTAAACTGAGTGGATGTTGCGACTGACTTTATTTTGCACAGACAGTAGCTAGTCTCGTTGAGGTTCACACTGCTTTTTTTTTTTTTTTTCTTTGAAGAATGGACAGCTGGTTTGGAGGGTTACAGCTTGAGCAGTCGAAGAAACATAGCTCTTCGAAATGATTCTCAGGCATGCGGTGTCCTCTACTCCAAAGCTCCTACGTATTTCTGTGGGCAAACATTAACATTCAGGCAAGTACTTTCTGGGTAGCTGTTGTCTGGTGCATTTCCTGTGAACCAGGCTTCCTTCTCTAGTCCATTACATTTGACTTGTGTGTAAACCTGAGTCCTGATGCATGTTTGAGTTTCACATCAGTGCAGCCCCAGTCCAAGGTAGAGTGTCTGTGTGACGTCTGAACTTCCTTCTCTTCTACTTCCTGGCTCTTTAGGAAAGCACCTGATGTTTTTGCAGGACCTGCATCTATCTAAAACAGAGATGAGTGAACTCCTGGGGGATGGTAAAATATAGTCCATGCTGAGCAAATCTGTGGAATGTTGAACTTCCTCAAGTCTTATAGGAGCTGTTACCGGATGGTCAGAAGTCAGTGGAGGCTCACCACTGATTCTTTTTAACCTTGGGTCAGTGGTTTTTCTCCTTCCCAGACTATGCACATGCTTTGATGAATTTGGATGTGAAAACATTCTATGGGCTGTTGGTACAGGTAAAGATGGCAGTCTGGCATTGATGTCTTTTTAGTGGTGACATCTTTTTAGTGGCTGACGTCTAGTGGAGATCAAACTGCTGCTTGAAACAGGCATTAGAAACTCTTGAGTGGAGAAGGGATCTTGTGAAATTCAAGCTTTTCATTTGACACAGAATGCAATTAAAAACTGGCAGCTTTGCTGCCTGTAGTCCTATCCCTGAGATGATGCTGTTTAACGGGGTATGAGGAATGTCCTTGCGGATATGTCAGTTGTAATTACAGACCTCAGAGACTCTGAAGCTTTATTCCATCTTTCCCTGGATAAACAAAGCTACTTGCTGTACAGTAGGCAACCCCCAAAGGCAAGTTAAGGGAGGTGGCTCATGATATTTTTGTAACTTAGTCCATGGTGTTTCATTTCTCCATTCCTGATAATGAATTAACTTTAGATGGTTGTAGTATGAGGATGTATTCTGTTGCCCTCAGATGGGATAAAAAGATCTAAAGCTTTCATTTGAAATCTGTTGCTAGATTTAACATCTCCTGGCTCAGAAATGCCTGCGAAATTAAAGGCAGAACTTTGAGGTTTCCTTTGGTTCTCTTTCAGACCAATGCCTTTTATCTTTTTTTATTGGTAACACATGAAAATCTTTTGCTTTACATTTTGGTAGTGTGGACTCCTCTCCAAGAGGAGATTGTTTCGGGATGGCAGAGCACTAACAAGCACATGTCCACAAGAACTGTAATGGCGCGGATCTTAAGATTGAAGACAACCTCAAAAATAGGTTGTGCTCCTCTTCCAAGGTCCAAGAGTAGCTTCTTATTTGAAAGTGTGTGAGATTTTCCTGAGCAGTGAGATGTAATATTTGGCACTTGGCTTTCTCCATCTGTTGAAAGAAAAGCGTATTCACAAGGGGGATAAGCAGCTTGCAGAGCAAACCAAATAAGCAAGGTTCACATTACAGATGTTTGTGAAGCACCTTTGTATTCTTCTTGTGCGTTCAGGACACAGGTATACCTCATGAGTGGAAAGTGAAGCTGTGATAAAGGCAGTGCTTTGTGGCTGCTTTTTAAAGATAAGACTGCTTTAGCTACCCTCTGAGGTGAGGCATTTGGACAAGTGGTAGGGAAACATCATTGCTTTAAGTCAGGACTCATCCTGCTTCTTTGCAGCCTTCAGGGAGCTCTCCTTAGGAAAGGGAACATTTCTCCACAGTGCCCTGCTCTACAGCTGTCTCTGAAGCTTTTGCTTGCATCAGGGAGCCACAGTCAGTCTGGCCAGGCTGGTGATTTGGGATCATCCAGCAGATGCCCTGCGAAGATCATGCTGACTTTGTCAGGAACCCACAGCAACTCTACTGACAGCTATTACAAAGGCAGCGCATGTGATCGCCCGCAGATACTTCTCTGTGCTCTGAGACAAATGGAAACTGGTAGTGGTTGAACTGGTTCAGTGTCTGTGTACTGCAGTAACAGAGGCAAGGTTTTGCTCTGCAGCATTGGAAGTGCTGAGAAGGGATTCGAACAGTGTCCCACTGAGCATTGTTCCTGCCACGTATTCTGTGGGCTTCTTAAAATTTTAAGTCCCGGAGATCATAGAGGCTGGAGAATAACTTCATTAATGTGACAGGAAAAATCAGCCTAGTAAAGCGAACTTACGAGATTTTGCAGTGATGCTCTGTACTGTACTTGGGCTCTTTGTCTTGGGCTCATTATTAATCGCTGAGAAATCAAAAGAGGAATGGTGATCTATACCAGATCTTGGCCTTCTTCCCTATGCATGCAAGAGGAGGAAAGCCACTGCAGAATTATAGGTTGGCTGTTGCCTTGGGCACTCGGGTTGTGCTTCCTCGTTACAGCGTGAGGAAGGTTTGGCCCTTTCCTGCTTTGCGTTAGCACGTAGCCCAGTCTGCTCTCTTGGAGTAAGGGCAGCGGTGTAGGGAGGGTAGCCCTGACGCTGGAAAGCCTGGGTATGATGAATACAGAAGTGCATGATGAAAACTGTGGCCTCAGCCTGGGTGCAGTGTGGGTGCTACTGAGAGCGATGAACCTAAACCGTTCAGCTGGTCCCCGACTGACTCCTGTGTGAACACTGCCACTCGGGGCGTGCCGTCGCTCTGCCCACAGAGTATTCGCTGTCCTGTTACTTGTTTGATGCTTTTTTTCCTTCCTACTGCTGCTTCCAGGTTACCTTGACAGTAGTGCTCTGCAAAAAAGGCTCTGTATAAATGAGCAAGTAAGCGTGGATACAGATTGACGTGATAGAATTCCTACTTTTTAATGGGCTTATAATTATGCATTTTTGGTCATTCTTGCGACTGTACAGGCACTTATTTCCAATGCAAAACTCAAGAAAGGCTCCCTGGACTAGGAATGGAATGAATTAATGTTACCTAAGCACAAAGGCTTTACCTCTCAAGTTTACACATAAATAGCTGTTTATAAAGCTGCGCCAGTAACTTGGGCAGAGTTTAAATTCTAAAGTAGAGTACCAGATGAATTTGAAATCTCATTTAAAGTTGTTTTGGGAAAACATTGTGGATTGCTTCCAAATTAAAAGCTTCTTGGATTCTTTTTTTTTTTTCTTTGCTTTGCTTTACAGTACAAGGCTTTTGCTTTTAGTGATGTTCTCAAGGGACTGAGAAACCTAATGGAGTGCAAAAGTAAAACATGGTTCCAATTTTATCTTCTGTTTGTCTTGAAAGAGTTAACCCATTGTGTGCCAGTCTACTGCCCAGTTTAATTTCCAGTTCTTAAAAGCTTCTGCTGAAGTTTTTCTGTTTTTTGGCAACAACCAAGTATCAGTGCTGCTCTTTGTCTCAAGCTGTAACAAAAGTAACCGCTGTTTTACTTTCTAGAAAAGACTGTTTGAATTTCCTGAGTTACTCAGGCTCTCTCTAAAGTATGATTTAGCACCTTTGAGAGATGGCAGTACAAGAGAAAGGACTCAAATACAGCAGAGCCCTTTAGTGTACAGGCTGTGCAGCCTCGCTCAGCTGCTAGGCCCCAAAGGGAACTGCATCCCAGGTCATTTGCACAACTTGTTTGCTTTTTCTTCAGAGATTCGTTCCCAGGACCAAAAACCCTAAATGCAACTGATTTATTAAAAAACCCAAACCAAACAAAAAACCCACACCCGCCCTCAAACCCAACAACCTACCACCACCAAAACCTTCCACCCCTTTACAGCAGAATATAGCTAACCTCCTGTTTTAGTCACGCTTCTTAAATACTTGCTGAAAGTACAGCCATCTTGCCATAATACGTGACATTGACCAGAAATCTGGTATAGAGGATTGTAGTTTTGTGCATATTGTTTCAGGCAAGTGGCAATGATTTCAAAAGACTAAGCTGTGACAGTGGAGAATTTTATTAAATGGCAATGAATGTTTGCAGGAAGCCGATGTATTTTTTGTACAGATTAATAGTTAGAGCATTGGTCAGTGGAGCCGTTGGGAAAGCTGGTAGAACTTCTGGTCATTCAACAGCGATCTCCCCAAAAGGTTGGATGAATTTGTTGAAAGCTCTGGAGCACAATACAGAGGTCTGGTATGGCAGAGTATTATTGTCTGGATTTCACTGTATGTTTTGATTTAAACCTTCAGGGTTTGACTTTTAACTTTTTGCTTGGTAGAATTGAAACCGTGGGACAGCCAGACAGACGGGACAGCCTAGGAGTGTGTGTGGAGCAGCAGAACGGCTATGATTCTTTGCAGCGGGATAAAGCTGTGTGCATTAGCACAAATGGTGAGTCTGAATCTCATAACTGAAGAATGTGATAATTTTTTTTTCTTTCCCAAAGCCCCTGGTTCTTTATATCTCTGGATCATGTATGAGTGACTTAATCCACCTTTTAGGTACATACTGCTTGTGCAGTTAAAATCTTTGGTGAGATCATGAATCTCCTTTTCCTGATTGCAGTTACTGCAACCTATTTAATGTGACAAAAAGGAATGTGGCAGGGCTGCTTTCCATTTCTGTTTGCCTGCAAAAAAATAGGGAGACATAGTATTGCATGTTAGTATATACAGCAAGTGAGAAATAATGTTTGGTATCTTGACTGTTTCAGGGGCAGTATTTGTAAATGGAAAAGAGATGACAAACCAGCTGCCTGCTGTTACTTCTGGATCAACTGTGACGTTCGACATGGAAGTTGTGCAGTTAGGGCCTTCCAGCAATGAGGGAGGAAACTTCAAGCTTAGAGTAACCATTAGCTCTAACAACAGAGAAGTGGTCTTTGACTGGGTACTTGATCAATGCTGTGTCTCTTTGTATTTTGGATGTTCATTTTCATACCCAGGCTGGAAAGTTTTGGTGTTTTAGCAATGAGTGAAGGGATTTTTGGTTTTGCTATAAAGTGTAATGTTAAAACCTGGCTTTCCAGTTGTTTGACATCAACCATCTGTTAACAAAAACTTGTCTTTATACTACTTGAACTCCACTATATTGTACTTCCTACTGGATTCAGTTAAACAAATAATTGTGAAGCATGGGATTTGTTACTCTGGGAAAAAGTTAGAAACAGGCATGTGCGTAGCCAAATTAATTTAAGCAGTCCATAAGACCTTTCCCTTTTTCCTCCAGACTGTATTTTTGTCAGTATTTCATTGTACTCTAGTCTCAGGGTACGGATGTTGTATGGAATTAACTTTGCTTAAAGCTGCTGTTTTGTGAAATAAGCCTGTAAATGTTTAGGGGGGGTCGAGGGGTGGTAATGGACCAAAATTTTATTTATACCACTCAAAAAGAACAAAGTATTTAGAGCAGTGATGTCCTGCTATGCTTCCTTGTACACAATGCTGCCTTAATAGTATGAATGGATAGTGGGTTCTGCATGCAGCAGCAGTTTCTTCCATGCATGGTACTGTTCATTCCTCTAGAGCAAGGATGTCTGAGCCATAATGTCTGTTTGAATATGTAGCCTGTCTGTTAATGTCTCACTTAAGTGCCTTATTTCCAGGTATTTCTTGAACTGTTTTGTGTTGTCACTTGGAATGTATTTTCTAGAGTAGTTGCATGGTGATGCTTACATCAACTTAATGCAGATAACTGCCCCAAACTAGACCAATACCTAGAGCAGGATGGTTATTCATATTTGCTCTGAATGTCTTCCCTAGTTACAATTTACCATATAGTCTATGTCAGAGCAAGTCTTACAGATTTCTTACTTCGGCACGACATGCAGACGGCAGCCGTGATTCCTCACAGAGCCCTTCTAAGACGTAGAGACAACCTTCTTTCTTTCTATTGTCCAACAACAGAGCCAAGGGAAGTGCTGTTTTGATATGCAGGATTCCTAGAAATCCCAGTTAGCTACCTGGGAACACCTTGTGTTCACGTGCAATAGTGCAGGTTTATGGTCCAAGTGCTGGGGACGGACTAGGCCACCCAAGCAAGGTGGGACTGCTGCTGGAGATCCACCTTGGGAGATAATGGAGAGGGGCTTTGGGTATGGGCTTAAGGCAGACTCTGCTGGCACAGACTTAACCTGTGGCAGTCAAAATGGAGCCAATGGTAATTTAGCTCTCTTCCATGTAGTAGGATGGGATAAGAAATTTTTATGAATTTACTTTGAATTCAGAAGTTACATGAAGTTACCACTATTTTCCCTAGGGAGCAACTAAGATTTAGAATGAGCTCATCAAAGAGAGCCCATTCTTGGTCAAAAGATTGCATTACTACTGCATTTAGAGTATTTTCAAGTAATGCTCACTGAGGGCCTTTAAAGGGACTTTCTTACCTCAAGTTTAAAATTAAATATATTTTAGCATGTTAGAATAGCAGTATTTTTATAAAACCTAGACAATCATTCTGCCATTTTTCCTTCAGTGTCAATATGCTACATTAGCACTCTATGCTAGCATAAAAAGCTTAATTTGCATTGGATTAGTATCACCCATACTCACAGTGTCAGCACGAAGAGATTAATCACCTGCCTGCATATTTTCCCCCAAGCATCGATAGAAGGGGTACATGAATGGCAGTTGATATTTATACCATTTACAAGAAAATAAAACTGTGAGTAGATTCAGATGGATGCAAAGAACTTGCACATGGTAGAGTTTGGTTGGAATTTATTCTTAATAGATGAAGTGAGGAAGCCTGGACACCTGTACGCAAGATAATCCAGTGTTAGCAACGAAAAGCCTGCAGAATTCTATTTTTCAAGCTTAACTATTTCACTGTTAGGGAGTAAGAGAATACTAGCTTATCCTGTACTTTCAGTGTTCCTTTGAATTATCCTGTGAGTATTTTCAATACTTCTAAAATACGACGGTTCTTTTCCTATAGCCAACATGTCCAGTAGATGATCAAACAGGATCAGTCCTGTTTAGAGAGGGTCAGGCTGGCACTCTGGCTAACAGCCAACTTAAATTGTGCTCCCCTTAGTAGTGCTGGTAATTTTACTTCACCACTTCAGGTGTCAGGTACTAGTTGTAACTTAGTACTTTTACCATATGGAAACTAAAATAGTGAATATCTACGCTTCTGAGGTACCGATGGGTCAGGTACCTTTTCATCTGCTCTCGGAGGGGCCAGTCAGCCTGTCCATTCTGCAGGATACTTCCTTGTGTATTAAAAAAAACAAAGCTTAAACCTTGCATTCAGGTACTTCCAGAGATGGTAATGCCTTGTCAGTTTGTTCATAATATACATATACAAAGCAGCTTGAGATGACTGTGAAGGGCCGCAGGAGGCCCCTACCGCTCCCCTTGAGAGCTGAGGATGGCAATAGAAGAAATAGTTTTTTCTGCCTTCAGTCTTTTAGTCATGTTGAACAAAGGCAGCTTGCCCATCTTGCATTGGGTTTTGGTGGTTTGTTTTTTTTGGTTTTGTTTTGGTTTTTGTTTTTTTTTTAAACTTTTTTTTAAACTTTTAAACTTAGCATAAGCCTAGCTCTCCAAACTGCCGATTAGGTACTGTTCAGCCACCTCTTAGAGCTGCACCTTTTAAACCTGGGAGGGGTGAAGAGTTTCAGGGCAAGACACCCCAAGTAATAAAGTAACAAAAGTAGGCCAAGAATCAGAAGGGGCTTAAATCAAAAAGGTTGAAATTCTGTTCTTCCACAGTGGAGCTCAGCTGGATAGAGAACTTCGACGCTTCCTTTACAATTTTTCATCTCTAGCTCTTGGAGCCTCACAAGCACAAGTGTTAACTGCTTATGAAATCCAATCCTGAAAGTTGTTTTCTTAAGCTAGTACGTTCACTTACCTCAACAAAGATGTATGTGTCAAGTGAAATTTGCATTTTTTTTTAAAATAAAGTTTTATCCCGCAACTGTGTATGGTCTAGTTATTTATTGGGGCATAAAGCTGAGCATCTCTGCATTTTCCTAACAGAACATAAAATTGTATTCTGTAGCACGGCAGCCATCTTTTAAGAGCTGTTTGGTTTTGTTTTTTTTAAAATCATCTTCTGTCCCTCAGAAATCCCAATTTTTTTTTCAGGTTTCTCACTTGTGCCCTTAA